GCGCAAGATCTGTTTGCAGCGCTTCGGATCAACACCTCCTTTCGGCAACGCTTGTCTAGTATCCCGTCTCATCTGGATGGCGCTAGTTGTTCTCCACAGAGGATAGAGCGGGAAGGGAAGGACCAGAGTAATGATGCGACTGCATTGTCCGTTGTATTGGTTATACCTGCGTTTATTTCACAATAAATCCATGTGAATATATCACAGTGATATCTTGCCCAGCATCACATGTGAAATACACGTGGTGCATGCACAGATGTGCTTATTGTACGCATATGTGTTTTAATAATTGGTATTTTATTGCTATTTTGACTATAATTAATACATATTTGAGATAAGTGGCACTCGGCTTTATCGGCTATGGACGTTAATTAGAATATCGTTATTTTCCGCTTAGGCTTCTGGTTTAAATAGAACCATTAACCCTATAAGCCTTTTCGTTGCCGCTAGCTGGCGCTAGTATCGCGCATGAGATAGCGTATCCGAGTAACCAAGACGCTAGCTGCACTTGTGTTTTTGGAGGATCGGCGGCAAACGAGTCTTGGTCTCATTGAAATAGGTAGATCTATCTATTTCTATGCTTGGTCTAGTCGTCCGGATCCAATTTTGGGACAACTTATGTGCCATCGTATGGTTATCAAGCCTAAGAGGCCAACTCGGCGCAAATACACTTTTCTACCAGTCAATATGGCGGCTCCCGACTCCGAACCCCTTGCCCGCGCCCGCCTCTACTGTCTGTACTGGGCGCATTGCACAGCTGTTGAACCCGCCTCCTCCCCCCTCCCCCCGCACACACGCTATCACGCGAACTGTATGAGTTACGTTTCTAGAATTAATTACAATTCTAGAAATAATCACTGTGAGTTTCGAGTTAATTGACCCACAATTAACCTAATTAATTAGCAATTATGCACACGCGGTAATGCCCATAGGCTATTATACGCATATCTCGTGAAGAAGTCGAGTTGTGATTCTAGAATTCTACATGCCTAATGATACATGTCTTAGCTATAATCACTGTGAGTTTCGTGTTAATTGACCCACGATTAACCTAATTAATTAGCAATTATGCACGCGCGGTAATACCCATAGGCTATTATACGCATATCTCGTGAAGAAGTCGAGTTGTGATTCTAGAATTCTACATGCCTAATGATACATGTCTTAGAAATAAGCACTGTGAGTTTCGTGTTAATTGACCCACGATTAACCTAATTAATTAGCAATTATGCACGCGCGGTAATGCCCATAGGCTATTATACGCATATCTCGCGAAGAAGTCGAGTTGTGATTCTATAATTC